TTCCATTCTTGAGGAAATCGAGGCTCAGAGTGGTTAAGTAACCTGCCCAGGGTCTCACAGCAACTAAGAAGCTGAGCCAGGCTTTAGACCCATCCTGACTAACTCTGATTTTACTGAACCTGACGCAGAGAAGCCAAGGTGGCCCCAGGCGACTGCCGAGAGGCTCACACCTACCATCGCACAGCTCCAGTCTCCCCTCCCTGGAGGCCTTGCTCTTCCCAGCCTGAGGCCTTCCCCTCCCCCCAGTTCTCCCTCTGCCTCTCATGCCTTCCAGGGGACACCCCAGCATTATTCCCACGGACCCAGTTGAACCTTGGGCTCAGAGGGTGGTGGCTCCCAAGTCCTGCAGGAGAACAGAAGGGAAGGGCGGCGTCCTGCAGGTGCCAGGGCCAAGGTCGGGAAGAGGCCATGGGGTGGTGAGGTGGGAGCGGATGGAGGGACAGATACGACATTTGTGAGAGACAAATGACAAAGTAACACTGGGGCGACTCGAGTCTTGCTGCTCCCAGAAGTATGGAGGTTCACAGGGGAGCAGAGGGAAGCAAGGGAGAGGACTTTCCTTTCGGAAAACTCAGCTTCTGAGGAAATGTTATGAGGGAGGCGACGGTACCTTTCCTACGCCCAGGTCTAAGATGAGCCCAGTTCCTTCTCCAGCCCCACTCAGTCACTTTTCGTCCACACGGAGTCGGCCCTACAGGGCCCCCGTGCCTGGCTTCAGTAAGTTTCAGACAGGCTCTTAAACATGAGAAGAAGCAGGTTGAAATTAAGGTGAAACCGGGGATTTGGTAAAGACAAGAAGGTGAATTTCCTAAGCTGGAAGAGCCTGGAATGAACTTCTAGCGGGTCAGAGTATTTCCTCCTGACCAACGTGCAGCCAAGTGAAGAAGCTGAAAGGAAAACATCAAACAGGGTGTCCGAATGGTCTCCCCTTTTAACTAGCTGAGTCTCCAACAATCTTCTTAGCTGTTTCTTTGTAATTAGTCGAAAATCTCAGTCAACTAGTGACAAGGTTGAAAGTTGACTTTCTTGGACTCTTACTCACAAAGCATTTCCTCGTTCATAGTCACCTACGTGAGCTCTCAGCTTCCACCTTTCAGCTTGTAAAAAAGCTCATGTGGCAACTTGCACCACTCGAGGCTGGGCTACGAGCCACACCCCCAAGGCTCAGCCCGGTGCTGGCCCCAAGTGGCACCCACACTCACCCGCTGCCTGAAGGACAGAGGGGATGAATGGAGGTCTCTTCTCATCTTAAAATCCATTGGTTCGAAGGTTCCTCACACTTAGAAATTACATTTTGAAATTAACATTGTTTTTAAATAAGAAATCCAAATTCACCAGTAAGCTGAACAAAATATGAATTTTAATGCTAAAGTCTCAAAAGTCCCGTATATTGCTGGTGGGAACGTAGAAGGCAAAACTTATTTTTCAGGCACTCTGGAAAACAGCTCGTCAGTTTCTTAATAAAAACAAATGATACCACCCACAACCACACCTGGGCATTTTCCCCAAAGAAGTGAAAATTGCATCTACACAAAAGCTGTACCTTAATGTTCTTAGCTTAATGTTCTTAGCCGCTTTATTATTTGGGACAGCCTAGAACTGAAAATGAACAATTGTTTCTCAATGGGTGAATGGTCACACAAACTATGGCAAACCCACAGCACCGATACTACTCAGCGACAAGCTGCGACTAGATACAGGGAACAACTTGGAGGGGTCTTGAGAGCACGATGCTGAGGGGAAGAAGCCAGTCTCTGAAGGTCACATACTGTATGATTCAACCGATTTATGTAACTTTCTCAAAGTAACAACATTATCGTGATGGAGGTAGTGGTTTTCAGGGGCTTGCTCAGCAGGGGGCACTCCAAAGGGAAAGCACGAGGGAGACTTCTGTGGCTAGGGACAGCTCTGTACTTTGATATGGTGGTGATTACCCGAATCTCCACGTGTGAGAAGGTGGCGCGGAAGTAGAGACGCGCCATGGCCATGGCAGCTGCCGGGTTTGATGTTGCTCTCTAGTTAGGAAAGAGGCAGCCCTCAGGGCAGCTCGGGGAAGGGTACAGGAGACCTCTCTGAGCTATCTTTGCAACTTTCTATGAATCTATAATTACCGCAAAGTAAAAAGTTAAAAAATGTCAATTTTAATGTCAAAGACTTGAAAATTATCTTAGGCAAAGATCTGTAAGAGCAGGCTGCGGGGGAGCAGAGGTGATGGAGACACTGTAGATCCCCATGGGGTCTGGGCCATCCCAATCTGTCATCATCTGGGAATGCCAAGGGGCCAGACTCGGCTCCTGGGGTGGCACGGGGCCTTAAGGACAGCTGAGGGGAGGAGGCCTGGCCTCATTCGAGCCCTGGTCTGATTCTGCTATCTTGGCATTTTGGCCCCTGGTTCACTGGGAATGTCCTCAGCGCAGGCCTGCTCTGGGGTTCTCAGTGGGTGCTTCACAAACAGTGGCTGGAGGGAAATGTCTGCCTTGGGCAGCCCCCGCATGGGCAGCATCAGAACCTGGGTTACTGGGTTTCACTTTCTCTGACCCTCTTTGCTGGCCTGAGCTCCCGGTTTTACAAGCCGCTCTCCGGACTCGTGTCCTTAGAAAAACATAGGCTTGTCTGTGACCCCTGGGTCCTGAGCCAGAACCTGCCCACCCGCCACCCAAGGCCTGGCACTGTGTGGTCAGCCCCAGAGGTGGCAGCGGCTGTGTGCCCAGGAGGCCCAGGCTAGAGAGAGGGGCCTGTGCGAAGCCATTCTGCACCTGCCTCTCCAGCCCAGCATGTCTTCTGCTCACTGGGATCAGAACTGCCCACCTGCCTCAACATTCTCCCCCCTCCCCTCTGCCCCCCATCCCTCACCCTGGATGGAAGGTACACATGATTCTAGATGCCCTGCTAGGAAGGCTCATTTAAGGGAAAAGCAGGTGCAGAATAACCCCATTAAATATATACATGAGCGTATATGAATATATGCATATCTATGGATTATATTTATTTCCGGACTTTCTAAGTTTTTGACAATGAATAGGGTTACTTGTGAATTAAAAAGAAATGAAGGTGTAATGAGGAAATATCAGACAAGGCCAAATGGAGGGACATCGTACAAGATAACTGATCAGTACTCTTCAAAATGTCAAGACGAAGACTGAGAAATTGTCCCAGATTAAAGGAGATAAGGAGATATACAACTAAACGCGCTGGGGGACCCTGGCCTGGATCCTGGACCAGAAAAACATTAGTGGTGAAACCAGCAAACTGTGAATAAGGCTGATAGAATAATGGTTGATAGCATAGAATCAGGTTGATTTCCTGATTTCAAGCATTGTACCTTGGAAGATGTGGACATCAGGGGAAACTGAGTGACAAGTACTTAGAACTTTCTGTACTATTATTGCAGCTTTATTATACTTCTAAAATTACATAAAAATACAAATAAATAAAGAAAATTGAACCAGCAACAATATCCCCACCCACTAAAACACTAGGGTCCAGAGCCCAGCGTAAGCATGTACTTTACTCTCCAGGAATTCCACCGGCAGGAGCACGGTGGGGGCACAGGACAACCCTCTCACGGCGACTCTCCCCCTGGGTGTGTTCCTGATTCTGGAAGCGCCACCCCCCCCATCCTCTTGCCAGTTGTTCTCTCCTGGTCCCCAGGCCTTTCCCTCTCCTGCCCACCAGCCTGGAAATGCCTGTCCTTTGAGGCCCAACTCCCAGGGACAGGCCTGGCCCCCTCCCCGCCGTGCAGAGGTCAGATGGTCTCTCCTTGCTGGTGCCATGTTCTCATGGAGAGGGAATGCGCGAGAGTCTCTCTCCACCAGACAGGGCAGCACTGGAGGCAGCGCGTGCCACAGCGGCTTGCATGACTGACACAGAGCACAGGCTCAATAAAAAGAGGTGGAGCCAACCACGACCCATGTGGCTGTTCCAAGGTGAGGGACACACCCAGGTCCTGGCACACAGAACTCATAAGAGCACTACAATGTCATCAGTCTGGCAGGATGCCCACACTTGTCCCCTGGGGTGGCAGCCCTGGCAGAAACCTGCCTTGCGTGGGGTTTCAGCCGGAGCCACCCAAACGCTGGGCTCACCTAGCTTGGCTTCCCTTTCTGGTTGATATCAATAGCCGTCCTTTAACTGGTTTGCCTAAAAGTCACTAAATGCGGCCCAACCTTCCAAGCAGATGAGGAGAGTGAGAAGGGCTAGTCATGTCCAAGTGAAAAGAAGATCCACTCTCTCTTCCTCCCTGCCCAGGGGCAACACTGCCAAATTCAGGACAGGTAAGAAAATATCCCTCACAAGCTAGATATTTCAGAAGGTGTTCGAAAAACAAAACACACTTCTGTGCCCTGAGTTGGTCAGCAGCCTTGGGTGTCCCTCTCCGTGAAAAGGGTGTGATGAGAGCCGGCCCACAGGGGACTTGCCTTCTGCGGATGTCCACATCACTGTACACGCACAGCTCTGCAGCCAGGGGCGGAGGCGCCCCAGAGAGCAACACGGTGACAGCTCTCGTTTGTAACCAGGACACCCCACATGACTGTTTCATGGCAGATGTTGCCGTAAGCTACCGAGTGTGGGGCCCCTACATAAGTCAGGGTTCAAAGTCAGCCGACACGACAATGAAGAAAATGCTGAAAGACCTCCTCTCAGAAGGAAAGTCAGAGTCTCCCCGTCTTGACCTTTACAGAGGCCCAGATAGTTGGAGAAAGGAAACTGAACATGCGAGTCCATTGCCAACGTCTTCCTGGGGATCCCGGGTATTGCAGCCACTGCTCCCGCCCTGCCAGGACCAGGTGGCCCGCCGGGCCCTCCCGCACGGGGGTCCTGTTTCGGGAGGAAGCCCACCCACCTGCGTGGGAGCGCACAGAGTGGGGTCAGGCCGGCTGCCCTTCGACAGCGCGCGCTCGGACGCGAGCGCAGCGGCTGCCCTGGGTCCCCTTCCCCGAGGGCAGCGGCCGCCCCGGCTGGCTCCCGCCCCTCCGCACTCCGCAGGTGGCCGCACTCACCAGCTCGGGCAGGAAGAAGGCGTAGGGGATGGTGAGGAACAGCGCGACCCCCGAGGGCGCGTCGGGCGGGGCGTAGGTGGTGGCGGGCGGGTCGTGGGAGGCCATGCTCGCTGCCCTGCTCGGCGCCCCTGGCTCGCGGCAGCTCGCCGGCGCCCGCAGCCCGTCAAATATCACCTCCTGCCCGACACACCCATCGGACGTCGCCTGGGAGGGGAAAAATGTTCCAGCCGAGCAGGTCCTTCCACTCGCCGCAGCCAACAGCTCCTCCGTGAACCGCTGAGCGGCGTCAGAAGGGCTCTGTCCGGCCAGCCGGGACAGCGCTGGGACAGGAGGCGGGCGAACAGAGTCCCTTTCTAGACCTCTTTTCCTGGGGAATTTTTCACTCCTGGAGCAAATTAATCTGGCGGATGCCAGCTACAACCCCTCCCTGTCCCACCCCTGTGCCCAGAGCACAGGCTAAGGCTGTTCTGCTGTGACAAAAACCGTTTATTGAGCACCTACTATGAACCAAGCTTTCTGCAGACAACCCCCGTGCTTCTGACAGCCTATATGTGGCTGTTTTGCCCTTTTCCAAGTAAGGAGACTGAGAATCAGTGAGGTCAACTCAAGGTCACAGAGCTGGTCACTAGCAATGCTGGGTCTTCTCTTGCCTGGCTCCCTCATTCTCCCCTCCTGGGCCAACCCTCAGCCCCCAGCCAGGCCACAGGGAGAGGAACAGCTCTCACTTCCAGCCCCACCTGGGACTTGGTGGTTCCTTCGTTCTCTGGATCCCCGCTCATGGTCCTTCTCTCCTCTCTTCCTCACAGGGCAGATGGAGGGAGGTCCTGTTCTCTGGGAGGGGATCACCCCAGAGGGCTCCTGAGAAGGGCCTGGCAGGCTGGCTGCTGCCCCAAGCCAAGACCCTCCTTCCCTCCCCAGCCCCCCTCTCAGCCAGGGCCTGGGAAAGGGGGGAGCTGGGCTTGGGGCCAAGCAGTTCCTTCCTGACTCCCGCAGGAGCCTGGGAGCTGGCTGCAGGGCTGTGACCCAGGGGCAAGCAACCCCTTTCACACAAAGACGGGTCCTGGAGACTGAGCCATTTTCCTCCCTACCTTCGAATGGGCTAACCTTCATTTGTCCCGCCCTGAAGGGAGGCCTGAAGTCCAAGAGTCCGCTCAGGATGCTTGGGGTGGGGTCCCGTCTCCCTGCCCTCCAGGGTCCAGACCAGTTGGGAAGCAGACCAGTTGGGAAGCCGCTCCCTGGTGTGAAGAGGATGTGGGGAACATTGCCTTGAGTGCTGGAGTCTTTAGAAGAAGCCAGTGTCTTGACCGCATTAGTAAGAGGAGTGAATGCCAGGGCTTGCCTGGCATTCACAGGTGGGTAGAGCAGCCAGCTAGGCCTTTGCCTGGTCTGGGAGAGCCAGGGGAGAGAGGAGTTTGGACAAATGAAGCCAAAAGCAAAGACATTTCAAGGAAAGGCAACGGGGCCCCCAGTAATCCTCAAACCAGCCTGGTCATCCTCTTCTCCCAAGCCTGTGGAAACTAGGAAGGAAGGGAGGCCCTAATCCCACCTGCCAGCCTGTCCCACCTTGTTTACAGGATTAACCCAAGCAAAGCAGGCATTTCCCCAGCAATCCCACCTCTTGCCACCTCTCTGAAATGTTGCAAATAAGCGCTGTGCCACTCTTATGGGCTGTAGGATACCTGTAACTTGACCACGGATAACATGGAATAGTGGGAAAAGTTTACAGTAAAGTTAAGAAGAAAAATAACCTTTCTCAGGCTCATATCTCATCTAGGAAATGAAGATAATAATTCAACCCATAGCCCCTTAAACTTTTGGGTTGAGAGGGCCTGGGCCACTTCTATCATCTGAAGCAATTAGTTTATTAAGAAATGAAGATGTGACAAAGCAAGGTCATAAAAGCTTGGCATATTTTATATGTTTACATTTAACCAGGTAATGTTTTGTTCTGTGCAACAAAGTATAGTACACTCTAATTAGGCTATTTATAAGAAAACCGTAAGATTTATAATGCAGTAGTGAGATCGTGTAAGGGACAGAAGTTTAGAAATGTAAGAAGAACATCTTTGCCTTACAGTCCAACCAATATATCTCTGGGGCTGTGGGTATGAAAGTAATTGGACACAAGGTTAAAAGTCTGGTGTGAGGCTGTGGGGAATGCCAGGCCCCGAAGGAGGGCTTTCTGGACTTCTGTGCAAAGGGCCTACTGGCTTCCATCTCATGGGACTAAGGATTAGGTGAATTAATCCTGCAAACCATACAAATAGTACTTAGCACTGTTGATTATTATGCTCATGGGTTCTGTTTTTTTCATTTGTTAGTTGGGGGGATTAAATGGGATAGTATATATGAAAACATCTAGGACAGTTCTGGTATACAGCAGATGCTTAATAAGTACTTGTTTTCTTCTGGCTCTCTTTCCTTTTCACAGCAAGACCAGTACCTTCTCTGTTAATATTTCCATACTGATTTTTAAACCTGTTCTAAAAATCTTTATTGATGTATAATACACTTACAGAAAATGTGCACACAACAGACCACAAAACTCCCACCCCAAGCAATAAATACAACATCACCAGACTACTCTCAATCATTGCTTCCTTCTTCCTCCCAAAATAACTACTCTAATAACTTCTAACTCCTCAGATTGGTTTTGCCTGGTTTTGAATGGATTCCTTTGTGTTTGGCTTCTTTCAAACAACATTATGTTTGTGAGACTCATCCATGTTGTATGTTGCTGTAGTTCATCCACTGCTATATAGGATTCCGTTGCATGAATATACTACTTTGTTTATGTATATGTATAACAATATACTTCATTGTTTATGGACATTGGGTTCTTTCAATTCAGGCTTATTAATAATACAGCTATGAACATTCTAGAACATGTCTATTGGTGCATCTACGCATACAATCCTATTGGGATTGTGGTGGAATTGTGGGTCATGCGGTATGTGTTTTTAGCAGATAATGTCAAGCTATTTTCCAAAGTGGTTAAATCATTTCTATCCCCACTAACAATGTATACAAGTTACAGTTGCTTCTAATTGGTGTTTATGTGTATACTCTAATACACTTAGAGTTTGCATGGTATATTTTTTATCCTTTTACTTTTAACTTACCTATGTAACTATATTTGTAATGAGAGCTTTTTTATTGGTAGCTATGATATAGTTAGGTCTTTTTAAAAAAATCCATTCTGAAATTTGCTGACTTTAATTGGTATTCATTTACACTTGATATAAATTGATAGTTTTGGATCTAGGTATACCATTTTATTTTTTGTTTTTTGTTTGTTCTGTATTTCATTCCTCTGTTTCCTCTTTATGTCTTTCGCCAAATTTGGGAAGTTTTCAGCCATTCTTTCTGTAAACCCAGAATTCTATATTCCATAAAAATATGTTTTAGGAACAGCAACAGAAATGGTAAATATATTGGTAAAGATTAGACCTTTTAGTGTTGTCCCACAAGTTCCTGAGGATCTGTTTATTGTTTTAATCTATTTCCTTTCTGTTGTTCGGGCTGGACAGCTTATATTGGTCTATCTTTAAATTCTCTTTTTCCTCTGCCATCTACATTCTGTTATTGAGTTCATTAATATATCAAGTCTGTTATTGAATTTTTTCATTTTGTTTTTTTATATCTATAATTTCAATTTTTTTGTATTATCTATTTCTCTGTTGAGACTGTCTATCTTTCTATAGATTTTTAGGGGGGGGTTGCCCTTACTTCTTGGAGCATGATTATTATAATAGCTGCTTTGATGTCTCAATTCCTGTGTCCTCTGGAGTTATTTTCTCTTGATTGTCTTTTTCTTTTTTGTCTTTAGAGATGTTGAGGTTTTCCTGGATCTTCAAATATCAAGTAATGTTGGATTGTATCCTGGATCCTATGAATATTATGTTATGGGATTATGGGTCTTAATTAAATCCTATGGAGAATGTCGATTTTGTTTGTTTGTTTTAGCAGGCAATCAGCCTGATTGGGTTCAGGCTGCAAGTTCCTATCTGCCTTCTCTGGGCTGTGGTTCCAATGTCCGTTCCATTTGTAAGGCTTTGCAGTGCTATTTTGATCTATTTGATATGTGTGCTAGTCTTGGACCTGAGACCAGTCTGGGTTCCTGTTACTCAGTTCTGAAATCCTTTGGTATTCTGTTTAGGGTCAGCTTTGGGGTAAGCTCAGACATTCATTCATATACTATTTTATGTGATCACTTTCCTAAGCTCCCTTCTTGCCATGGCCATGATCTCCCCAACACTTTCTAGATCCCAGGAAACCCTGTCCTTTCCACTCTTTTCCTTGGTTCCCTGGCTAAAAACCAGGGTTTTCATTTCCCTGCTCTACTGTGCACTTCCTTTGTGTCTTGTTGCCAAAAAGCAACGAGAAAGAGAGTGAGCAAGAGAGAGGGAAACAGTGACTCCCCCCATGCTTTTAGGACCATACGAAGGTTGTCTGGAAAGTAATGTAATATAAAAAATAGAGACATTTATTATATTAACAATGGCTGGATACTTTCTGGACAGCCATTGTATTTCCTCTGATCAGAGAGAAGGGCTCCCTTTCCTCAGAATTCTAGGTGCCTGCCTGGCTGGCCGCCACTTCCATTGCTACCACCATTGTCACTAGGGGCTGGGGCAGGAAAAAATGGAAAAATATAAAAATAAATATGGGTTTTCTATACTCTCTATGATCCATAGGGGCTCTTTCCCATTCCTCAGACCAGAAATAGAGGGCTTGTTTTGGCAATGTCTTAGTCTGCATCCTGTGTATGGTACCAGGTTTCAGGTGGTTTCTAAGCCCAGGCTAAGAGTGGGAAACTCATCACTAGCTGGGTAGTGTTTTGGCTGTTTTTGTTGTTGTTTTTTAGTTAGAGACAGAGTCTTGCTGTCACCCAGGCTGGAGTGCAGTGGTGTGATCACAGCTCATTGCAACCTCGAACTCCTGGGCTCAAGTGATCCTCCTGCCTCAGCCTCCTGAGTAGCTGGTGGTAGTACACCACCATGCTTGGGTAATTTTTACATTTTTTTTTATTTCAGCATATTATGGGGGTACAGATGTTTAGGTTACGAATGTTGCCCCTGCCCCCCGCCCCCGGTAATTTTTAC